TGCCAAATTTCATTAACATTCGCTTACTAATTCAAAAGTTATAGCATGAGAATTATAACAAGCACAAAATGGTTAGGAGTTTGGTCCCAGGAACCAAGCCCATGCTGAAAGAGTTAATCATATTAGTAAAATGATTTCTGCTCAGAAATGTATGTTATGATTTTTGACCTGTTATTTAGTACAATATACAAAAACAAACGTTCATACCTTAATAACTTATTACAATGCAAACTAGTTTATTCACCAAATGTGTCAGTCACCACCAAAATGTGATCTCAGTTTAAAAGTATCTTGTACGTTTCCTACAAATAAAGAAATTAAATTGTAAAGAACAAAAACCTACTCACACGTTTGGTTTCAATTCCAGCACTAGTATCATGAAAATTAAAGCTGCCACAGTGATTCTCCATAAAATCCTTAGCTGGAGGACAAGGAGGATCAGCACTCACAATCTATTGTCAGAACAGAAAAATTAAAGAACCACTTTTAGTCCTACCTTCACCTTCCCAAACAATTATCATAATTACTTTTATGTAGAATCTAATACATTCTTGTTTTTAAGATTGGCCTCACACATTTCCCAGCAAGCACCTTAGAGAGCCCATTTATGTGTGTGATTATAACAAAAAATATGTTTTAGGGAAAATATAGCTCAAGAGTTCTTATTACTTTGGTGACAAGGCAGGATCAAAAATTAAAAATACTAAGCTTAATACCTGTCTACCTTGGCTTCTGTCATGTAGATTCATTAAGTTATTGCTATTTTTTCTTTCTTACATTAAATAAAGCAGGATTACAAGAATGTTTTAAACTATCTTCTGACTTAAAGATATTTAATCTTTCTTCATATTTTTCTATTACTTCTAACTTAATTTAGAAATCTTATACCTTTAACCACACAACTTGTTTTTTATATGACAAACATTTTCCTTCTTCAGAAGCAAATAAGAAATGAAAAAACACTACAAGTACCACACATAAACTGCAGTTCACTACTACAAAAGGCCTGACCTCATTTTTTGAGTTTCCCTTATCCAGGGTTACGAGAGATGTTACAAGTTTAACTCGTTGATGAGTGGCAAATTCAAAATAGATTGAGTGTCAAATTCGATGACGAGGAACCCACTTTGAGACTAATAATGGCTGGAGACGGCTTGAATGGGTAATGAAGAAAAACTTTAATATAACAGCAATGATGTTGATGTACCTGATGATGACAAAACCTTGTCGAAACGTTGTACATTTGCTGTTATATTAAAGTTTTTCTTCATTACCCATTCAAGCCGTCTCCAGCCATTATTAGATTGAGTGTCACTTTTGTTTACCAAAAAAAGAAAAACAACAGCATTTCTTGTTTACTTTCAGGTTATCATTTAGTTTTAATAACACAAATCAAACAAGTATGAGAAGGTTGATTCTGTATCACTACATTCAATTTTTCTACCATACTAAACAAGAGGGAATTCTCAAAAGCCACAGCTGTAATTAGATCTCAAATTGGTCAAGAGATGGAGCTATGAATTAAAAATTTGTACTTGAAAAGAAAAAACAACACTCGGAGCCAAATTATGAGCAGCCGTGTCATGGCTAAAAATAATTTCTATTTAATATCATATCAGTAACTATGGAAACACTCACCGGTTTTCTGAGAAATGGACTTTTTAGTTTTTCAACTAAACTTCTTGCTGCTTTTTTACTTAAGGTATTAAAAGCAAATGGTTCTTCTGAGACCTATAAATATATGATAATATTTACATTACTAGCATGATTTAATAAAGGATATTCTGTACAAATAGCATCAACTACACTCTTTCTTATAACTTATGGATAAAGTATGTCCTTTAAAAACTAGACACTTCTGACTACCTTTAATGTTATATTAACCAACAGTTCCTTATAGCAGAGTTGACAGTCGCATGTTAAAAACTAGACACTTCTGACTACCATTAATGTTATATTAACCAACAGTTCCTTATAGCAGAGTTGACAGTCGCATGTTAAAAACTAGACACTTCTGACTACCTTTAATGTTATATTATCCTTTAAAAACTAGACACTTTTGACTACCTTTAATGTTATATTAACCAACAGTTCCTTATAGCAGAGTTGACAGTCACATGCTATGGCGATGATGCGTGTGTTACAAGCACTTTTTATTTGTAGTGTTACAAAAGTGGCACTATTCTATACAATATGTTCAATCAACTTCAAATCACAACATTTTACTTGTGTTTCCTGTTACACACCGAGGTTTTGCATTAGTGACCATTAGAATGAAAATGAGGACAACTGCACAAGCATTCAGAGATTTGTTAGTCATTGTACAGCTTCTGTTCAACATTCTGAGCTGTGATTTTCCCACCACTGTAATGCAAATGAATATTGCTAGACTCATCTGTGAATGTCTAATATTAAATATGTGTATGTAATCAAAATACGTGAGTCTAACGTAATGCATGACACCATAAGGGGGTGTTTGATGTCAGAAGTGAGACAGGAAGCTCCGATAATCATACTTTGCTTATGGGAAACATTATAGCTATCTGACTGGTAAAGGATGGGCCGAAAGAATAGTATTAACACTGCTGATTCTTGAATTTTTTTAATTTGTTGAGCATTTAGAAAGGATTAGATACTAATAAAACTCAATTCAAGTCCATAATTGGATCAAAGTTCAAAGTAAAACATGAAGTAGGAATGGGCAGAATGATGGCCACACCTACTTTGAGGTTGCACCGTGTCAAAAACCACCAAGTGTTGTAATGTTATTCCTACTTTGAGGTTGCACCATGTCAAAAACCACCAAGTGTTGTAATGTTATTCCTACTTTGAGGTTGCACAGTGTCAAAAACCACCAAGTGTTGCAATGTTATTCCACTAATTCCTACATTTTTCTTTACTTTTTGGTGCTCCCATTCCTATTTCATTTTTTTTAATCTTTTACACTTTCTCTTAGCTTTTTTTAGTACTAAGTCTCGATAGTGGCTGGGCTTTAGGACTATCCTTCTCATAGCTTTTCTCAGAGCTATCTCTCGACATTTCCCGGCTTTTGCCGATATCTTTGCTATAGTTTTTCTTCCATCTAGCCAGAGTAGCAGCCTTTTCTCTGTCTGGATTAATAGTTTTATTTTGCATATTCAACATTACTGTTTCTAACCGTATCTCTATTCTTGCACACTGGGACAAAGACTTTTCAAGGTTATCAACACAAGATTTTCTCCTTTTTTCTAGTTTTGTTTCCTTGAAAGGCATATTTTAAAAATTGCACCATTTCAAGTACAACCTTAGATGTCAATAGATCGCACTTAGTTTGAAAACAATGCAAAGGTAAGTTATACAGCTTATTATTCTTGTTTTCAGTCCATGACACCCGAGAAAACCCGTGTCAGACTTCAGTGGTAGCATTCATCCTCGCATAAGAGACTCATGTTGTAAGCACCGACTGATATGACAGAATTGCTTTGTCAAACACAGAACACTCAAGTCAGATGTACAGAAATGAAAACTTCGCTTTTAAATGTTAGATTATAGTTAGAACTTAGATCTAGAGAATCTACATAGTCCACTTTTTTTTTAAATCTAGCTGATACAGCTGCAGGATGATCATGTAGCACATGCACATAAGCAATCGTGCACCTGCATGTGATACAAGGGAAGCTGTTACTTGGCAACTCACAGAGCATGCTTGTAATCATAGAATATGGCTACTAGTGTATTGTTAGCTTGTTAGTAGTGTTACAAAATGGTTATTGTTATTACTTGTTATAACCAAGGTTATAAGTAAAACTACAAAAAAAAAGCCTTTAGCCAAGGTAGCATAATTCAATCATGTGCATTTAGATTTGCATAAGGAGAAAGCAGGAGAGAGCTATGCCTTTCCAACAACGTTAGTCAGTCAGACAGATAGATTGACAAATTTGTGGTTTTGTGCAATTTTTATCTTTATTCTACTGACTTTCTCAAGTGCTTTGGTGGTTTGTTACTCTGTAGATGGTCTGTTTACTTATAAACTGTGTGTGTAAAATGCTTATAAAGTTTTGTTTATATGATGTTTGCAGTATGTTTGAGATTTTCATTTTTATTGCACATCTGACCCATTCCTACTCTAAATACTACCATACTTATAATGAAAAACATGTAAAAACAATATTTATTTCAGTTTCAAAGTAATGCTATATTTAGAAATTATTACATTGATTTAAAAATAACTAAATAACAGTTGCTATAAAATATTATTCAAACATTTAAACTTAACAATGATCATGATACAATTTGTTTTTGCTTTCTTTATTAGCTCATGATGGAATAATAATAATAACAAAATAAAAGATCTAATACGTGTAATACCAAAACATATACATAGTAATAAAAAAATGTGAGGTACCTGATCACTGTGAATATTTTCTCCCAGGTCAAGAGCAGATGCAGGCCCCTCTGGGCCTATAGCTCCAAATCTATTGTTTATGAGGTCAAACAGCTGTTGCCACCTCAACTCATGACACTGCATTTCTTCAATTTCCTTGTTCACTATGTCAATGGCTCTTTGTTTAATTTTAACTCTAAAATGAAAAGAAAAATTAACTTATTACAACATCTTACTTATAGAGTAACCATAAACACTAGGAAGAAGAAAATAATCAGAAAATATCAATAAGTCTTGAAAGTTCAGGTTAGTTAATGCTCTTCAGCTGCACTGTATTTGTATTCGGTAAAAAATTCATGTTCCACTAAAAGGCTATAAATAAACCCTGGATTTTAAAGGTTATCTGGTAGAGATTCTAAGTTCTGCCAATTCTTTCCCAATGAACAAATGGTTTGAAAACAGCATTCAGCACCTAATTCACTAATTGTTGGTTAAAACTAGTAATCAGAATCATACAAACTTTTGAAAAATATTTTGAATAAGTTTTTAGATAAAAAATATAAATCAGTAGCAATCTGGATTTAAATAAGGAGTTAAATACATTAAACTTATTTATAATCTATGGAAATTACAAACAAGTCATGATGAGGTTATTAATTGAACGTTACACACATGATCAAATTAACAAGAGAATAGTATGTACATTTCCATTAGTATGTATCTAAACCTAAAATTATTCATAGGACTGTCTGGTTAAATGTTCAATATCAATGAAGTTAGTTCTATACTTAAAACTTTAATCGATGATGTGTAGCCATTAATGAGAGTCACATAATCATTACTGCATTATTCGGTTTGGTTTATTTAAAATTAAGCACACAGCTACACAATGGGCTATCTGTGCTGTGCCCACCATGGGTATCGAAACTATTCGGAATGGAAAAATTAGCTACAACTGCTTTGTGAAATTTAACTCACTGTTGTGGTGAATATAATGATGGATCATGAGAAATAGGATTTTAAAACATCAGCATAAAAAAACTTGATGAAATGTTGGGTCTTCAAGGACACCTAGAAACTCTAAAAATTAAAATGCAAAAATACTGATGAATAAAAATTTTCTATTTAAATAATATCCAGGTTACTAATTTTTAAATGAAATATATAAAGTAAGAATACATAACCCTCAATTTTGTCACTAAATAGGACATGACATTGCAATTTGAGCTCCCAGTTTGGGTTATTATTATCTTCTAAAAGTTTCCTGTGGTATTCTTGGACTATTTAAAGCTTAGAAAATTATTACAACTCTTCCATTCATATCGATAGAAAGATCGTGTACATTTTCATCAGTTGACATGTTAGTCTAACTTGGAAGAAACTAACAGAATTTGGTCTTGAATTAACACACAATCTTTTTTTTTTCACCCCTCATTTTTAAGGTGTATCAGCAATTTTTACCATCATAAAAGAATGGGATATGGCCTTGAGAAAAGAAAAAAAGAAATTATTAATTTCTTTTAATTTGGTTTGTTTAGTCTTAGCTAATACCGTATAACAATTTCAACTATAACCAATATCAGATGTTTCCATTACAATAATATCTATCCAAAACTATTTTAAAAATAACTGTTTGCAAAGCTACACGAGGGCTATCTGCACTAGCCATCCATAATTTAGCAGTGAAAGACTAGAGGAAAGGCAGCTAGTCATTACCACCCACCACCAACTCTTGGGTACTCTTTTACCAACGAATAGTGGGATTGAACGTCACATTATAACACCCCCATGGTTGAAAGGGTGAGCATCTTAAGTGGGAAAAAGATTCTAACTCGTGACCCTCAGATTGCAAGTCAAGCGCCCTAACCACCTGGCTATGCCAGGCCCTAAATAATTGTTAACAGTGCTCCAGATAACATAAGTATTTGCATAAGTACATGTTTTTGTAGATAAAAAAATGCATTAGAAATAAAAATTGTGTATCAAATGCACATAATATTTGCTGGTATGTATATTATTCATGTATATATGTGCAAATTCCTCAATTTAAAGAAAGAAAATCAGTTTTGGTAATAAAGTAAAAACAAAGCCTGTGAAATTATTCTCACCGTCAACCAACTAAATGACGAGTTATTTGGTGATTTGTAGGATTTAATGCAAATTCTTTTACATCAAATCTAATCATTTGTTTGCATTTCATCTCTAAGTGAAGGTCTAGTGTATCTCTTGGTTTAGTCTCTCAGGAAGTATTGAAAAGTCATGCAAGACTAGTCTGATGCAGCAAATATGAGTTATAACATGATAAGTTAAGCTACATGCATATAGCCCAATCTAATGTTATTGTGTTTTTTTCTAATGATCAATTTTTCAAAATGTTAAAAAATCTACAATTTTAGTAGAAATGCTGGAACCAAAAGTCATGTACAAAATGACTCGTATCTGGAACATGAGACAGATTAAACAAACTCAAAGTTATACTGACTGACTTATCTGATAAATAGGACAAGCTAAACAAACTCAAAGTTATACTGACTGAGTTATCTGATAAACATGACAAGCTAAACAAACTCAAAGTTATACTGACTGACTTATCAGATAAATGAAACAAGCTAAACAAAATCAAAGTTATACTGACTGACTTATCTGATAAACATGACAAGCTAAACAAACTCAAAGTTATACTGACTGACTTATCTGATAAACATGACAAGCTAAACAAACTCAAAGTTATACTGACTGACTTATCTGATAAACATGACAAGCTAAACAAACTCAAAGTTATACTGACTGACCTATCAGATAAATAGGACAAGTTAAACAAACTCAAAGTTATACTGACTGACCTATCAGATAAATAGGACAAGCTAAACAAACTCAAAGTTATACTGACTGACTTATCTGATAAATGAAACAAGCTAAACAAACTCAAAGTCCATACTGACTAACTTATCTGGTAAATGAGACAAACTAAATAAACCCAAACCCAAAGTTACATGGCCTCGTAAATAGGTCAAGGAACTATAAAAAATTGTTAACTTACAGTTCAACCTCATCTGGAGAATTTTTTAAGGCATTCATATCTCTCACATACTGCTCTAGTTGAAACTTCTTAGTTTTCATTTCTGCTCTGCAGTTGCTTAACTTGTTATCTAAGTCTTCAGCCCTAAGTAAAGCAAAAAGCTACTCAGTTTTTCTTGAGCATATTACATGTATGAAGACAATAATAATAACCATTTATGTTACAAAACATTCTAAATAATATGGATTTAAACCAAACCTTTATATCATTTTAGTTTTTTAATGCTTGAATAGGACTCAGCCCACCTGATGTTAACAATTTGTCACTTGATATTATAAATATTGGAAACTAAAATAAAATGCTATTTGTAATACAAAAATGAAGTACATTCATACCATGTATGGTAGCTAACTGCAACAAGTACATAAACAGTAAGAATGTACAAGTAAAACGGCACAAATTGCATCTCAGTACTCCAAACACTACAACACACTCTTTCATATAAGAGAGCATTTAATACACAATATATATATATATATATATATATATATGAAGTATATTAGGATATATTAAAAGTCACATTCCTCCATATAAATCTATAGGTACTATAAATCCACAGAGTATAAAATTCCTATTAAAAGTTTTAAGCTCACAATCGATAATCTACATATACACAATTATGAAAAAGTTAAATTATAAAATAATTACCATAAAAAAAAAATAATATTAACCTGTTGTAAAATAAAATGAAATATTATGCTTATACATAGCAAACTTTAAAAAGTTAATATTAGCTAATGATTTCAAAAAACATAAAAAATTACATCAAGTGTTTATGGGATTGATAAAAAACGAGAAGAATAATTAGATTATTCATAATTAGTAATAGTAATAAAATATTCACAACTAAACAACTATTATGGATCTCATCATGTTCCAATTTTGTTTGGTATACTGAATTTAATAGTTCTAAATTACAAAATAAAAATCAATGTTTATGAATCTTCATATTTGAAATGCTTGAATATTAAGACAAAACTTTAGTCCCCATTCTTTCCTATTTTGATTCTACAATGCAGGTACATATCACTTGAAAAATTACATACAATGTTTTGAACAGTACAAAACTGATAAACTTAAATCTTTTTTATATTACAAGCCATATCAATAAAGAGCACTATTATTTTTGTAAGATAAATCTGAAAATGAAATAAAATGGACAACTACAAATGATTTTTACAGTGGTATTAAAAAAGTCCAGATATAAAAATCTTAAATGTGAACAAAAGTCACTCATAACCCTAGCTTTTACCAGTGTCAGTTTGTAAGCCAAAGCATAAATATCTGCTTCCTGATTTCGTAAATTAATCTAAACAGCATTCCAACTATGTTCTTACCATTTTTTCAATTCTATGTCAGATGATTATAGTTTTCTGTAAGTACGTCTATAAATCAAGAAACTCATTTTCAATTGTTTTTCTAGCTGGTAAAAACTAATTTGGTAACTAATGTTAAGATGTTTTCACACACACAAAAAAAACTTAGGTTTTCCACCAATAATTAGCTCTTGCAATCAATATACCAAATCTAGCTTTACCAGTGAAATATTTCACAAAAATTTTACTGTCAAATATGACAGACTAGTCTAGGATAGTTCACATCCCACGTTTTATTTAAACCTAGCTTATATACTTGCTTGCCTACAGCTATAATTTTGTTGTTGTTGTTCAGACACTCATTTTCAAGTGGTAACTGGCACAACCTGTAGCAGCTCACAGATTTATTGACTGTTTATTGTTACACCTCAAGCTCGGAATTAGTAACAAAATGGGAATTTTATAGAATTTGTGTTTATCTAAATATTTTCTTGGAAAATAAGTTTTATAATAAATGTATGATATTAATGGTTCAAATCTATTTTGATACAGTAAGTGTTTCAACATAAGTCCAAAATGGATAACAATGAAGTTAAGAAAACTAAAATAACCAATTCCAAAATGTTCTGTTTGCTCACACCACCACCTTTAAATTCTTAACATATACAAAACAATAGTAGCTAAAGTCACATGACATGCCAATTATATTTTCAGATAGATGTATGTACAATAAAAAAAAATACAAGGATAACAAAGGACTTGCTAATCCATCTAGTCCATCCACTACATTAAACTTTAAAAAACTCAAGCCAGCCTTTATCATTCAGATATTTATCAAGTGTTCCCTTAAACTTAATGCATATACCACATCTGAAGGCAACCCATTCCAAAAGCCAACTATTCTGTTAGAAAAATAAAACTCCTACCCTGCCAAGATTTATATTTCATGTTCCCAAATCCAACCATTTCCACCATTAAGTATGAAAAACCATGATGCACCAATACTACCAATTCTCTTTACAATCTAAAATACCTCAATCGGATCCCCTCCAACTCTTCTTTCTTCAAGAGAAACTATTTCAAAAATATTAATATTTCTTTGTAGACAACTTTTCAATCCCTAGTAGCCCTCTTCTGAACCCTTTCCTATAATTCAATGTCCTACTAAGGTAAGGTGTCTGATACTAGACAAAATACTTTAAATATGGCCTAACCAGTGAATTAGACAAGGAAATTATAACCTCTTTAGATTTGAATTTGATATTTTTGTAGATAAGCCTAAAATCCCATTTGTGCTGCCACTAGCAACAGTGCATTGCTTTGCATGGCTGAAGACACTGATCAATCAGAACATCAAGATCCTTCTCTTCCATAACACTTTTATGGTTGCTCCCATCAAAATTATAATTCAAATTATGATAACCTACATGCATTACCTTGCATTTATTATAATTAAAAGCCATCTGCCATTTATTTGCCCAACTCACAAAATGATCTAAATCCTTTCAAATTTAAATAATTTATTGACCATTCCTTCATCTACAACATTGATGTAAATTAAAAAGAGCAAAGGTCCCAACACTGAACTCCGAGGTTCCAACTTGTGAAATTAATCTAGTTTGACTGAACTCCATTTATAACAATCCTCTGCTTGCTTCCATCTCACCAGTTTTCTATCCAACGAGTCAACTTATCCCCCACACCTACAGAGATAACTCTTTTAGCAAGGCTTTTTATGTGTCACCTTATCAAATGCTTCCAAATACATCAAATCCACACCTTTACACTCATCTACAAAAGCAGTAACCTCTTCAAATAATGTCAAAAGATTTGATTGTCAAGATTTTCCCTTAGTGAAACCATGCTAACTATCCAAAAAAAACTTTAAGCTTTATTAAATGACTTTGCAATGCATCATTTATTAGATTTCAAAAGCTTTTCCAACCACCGATGTAAAATTAAAATGCCTATAATTACTGGGATAATTTTATCACCTCCCTTGAAAAGAGGACCAACATTAATTAATAGCCACCTTCCAATCCTATGGTACCTGCTTACTATTCAAGGATTTACAAAAAAAAATTCTAGGTAGTGACTCACATATCCAATCCTTAACCTCCTTCAAAACCCTTAGAGAAGTATTTTCTCATACAAGAATCTTATCATTCTTTAAACTTCCCAATTTTTCTCAACAAGCTAAGAATCAATGCGATCAACTTGTTTGATTTTGTTACCATCTAGCAACTGTTACTATTCACCCCCTCCACCCCGTTATTGCTGTTGTTGAGCATTTATTACCTTTAATGTAAGTTAATGTTAACTACAATCGTAGATGGTGCCATATCTTTACCATTGAAAAAAAATATTAAATTTCTGTAACACAACATACACACAGTATATCTCAAAGAGCAAACTAGCACTCTCTATGGAGGAATGTAATGAAAAAAGTGGCTGCCACTATTGCATTACTACATAAACGCAGCTGAAGTTTCTACTCCAACAGTCACCATAAAGCTGATATGAAGAACTGTTTTTTTTTTAGTTATACCATCTTCCTACTTTAATCTGTGACCTTTGAACTTCAGCCCATAAGACACTTCTGCAATCAGTGACTGTCTATTAAAACACTATGAAAGGACATTAAGAGATAGCAGAAAGCACTACTTTGCCCATTACCACTTCCTACAAAGTCACCCTGAACATTGCATAGTGTATACCATGTTTTAACTATATACATATTGAATTCTTAAAGCTTATACAAAACATGGTGAGTTAATATAGAATAGTAACAGTTCCTAGATGGTAACAAAATCAAACAAGTATACCATGTTTTAACTATATACATATTGAATTCTTAAAGCTTATACAAAATGTGGTGAATAGTAACAGTTGCTAGATGGTAACAAAATCAAACAAGTATACCATGTTTTAACTATATACATATTGAATTCTTAAAGCTTATAGAAAACATGGTGAGTTAATATACATATTTAAACACTCCATTCCAAAAACTTCCCTTTTCCCACTAACCTGATCCCATAATTCCAACCAGCCAATCTTTTCATCCTTACATATTAACTTAAGCCTAGTATTAAGATATTGTAATTCACGTCACGCCGCGTACTTCATAGGTTACACTCATTGTATCATACTTCCTGCCAGCAAGCACACTGTCCTCTGCCCAACGCTGCCGGTAATTATCGACGGACTACTGCTTGACTTCTCTCCTCGGGACACCACCAACTTCATCCATAAATACAAGCCTCGATCCTACGTATTTCCTGAGTGCACTAATTGTCTCCGCAAGGGAGGTATACTTCTCCAGCCCAGGACACCCGAAGATCTCTGTTACCTTTGCCGCCCTTGGTCTTCAAACCAACTTGTCACATGCCAACCCCCCAAAAGAAACACCAGTCTCCACACAGTATTTCTAAGAAACGTTCACATATCCTTTACACCAGAAGAAATCCATCGAGCATTCGAAACTTCAACCAACTCAACGATCCATGCAGTTCACTGAATCACATCCAAGAAAACAGGTTCACCCTCTCATTTCAAAAAAGTTGTCAAGACTTCTAAACTAACTGCAGACTTCATCCTCACCCATGGATGCTCTCTTGAATTCTAACATTTCAAAGCAGAGAAACCATATCAGAAGCCTCGCCCACCCCCTACACTTACCAGTTCACCCCCCAAGCCCATGTTTCACAACATCCAAACAACAACCACCATCTACCAAAACTTTACTACCCAACCTATCACATCAGACCAAGCAACTCAAACTTCGCCCACATCTGAGACAGAAACACAAGACAAGATGACCCAAACTACCACTACAAGAAGGAAAAAAAGGTAACCAGACCCGGCCACCAGTCCTACCAGTAACCAATGACACATATCAATAAACCAGCAACCCACCCCTCAGCCCAGTCCCACATTCTGCACCTTCCTCGTCAAACTCACCCAATGCTCTTGTAATTGAGATCTCCTCCGACCTTGACATACCCGGTGAACCTTTCTTTGCTCTCGGCTCACTTACTAACAACACTGAGGACTTCACACCATCACAACCATACCAGAACTTGAACCCAAACCCCAGTAGAGCCCTGGCAAACATTAGAAGAATCCAAAACTACTTTAAACTTTAATCAACCCCCAGCATTAGACTTCACTTTGCCTTTCCAACTTATTTCTTCTCGCTAACTGGGCACTGGTAATGGATTGGTCATTACCAGTGAAATTGGGTTTTCTTGGGATACTCCCATTGTTCCCCTCACATCAAATTCTCAGCATAGGATTTATAGATCCCCGCTTCCCTGATGGACCATCTGTCCGATATCGGCCGTTTATGACACTTACATAGCTTGTTTGTATCAAAACTTCGTTACAGTCAACCTATCATTCTTTGTTTATACTTCAATTGAAGCCCATACCTCTAAGCCACGTGTGAGGAGAAGAAGGATTGCTTAATCTTCAAGCACCCCCTGATTATTAATTATTTCTTCTGAAATAATTAATTTTAAATCAAAATAACTGCCATAGACATATACACACAAGCTCTTGTAATCTACTTATAATTTCATCCCCACAACATCCATGACTGAAATAAGTTAGTCTTTTTCTTTAAATACATTCATGAACCCTTTGTGTTTATCAGTTAGCTTCTCTGACCTACACATCCCTACATGCACAACAAAGACTGCATCACATCTAGAACCCTTTTACTATATCATTTCCCCTGTCAGTGATATCCTCAACCCTTGCTTCTGAATAGCATATGTCAGTTTTTTTCTCCCTATTCACCCCATTTAAAAAGGATAAAAAAATGCAATATGCTTGGATAACTACAAAAAAAAGGTCAAGAACAGAAATAGCAGGTAAATAACAGCAGATTCAAACATTTATTATTTAGGAAATCAGAACAATACATACCTATCTCTTAAGACATCATATGTAAAAGAATCCATTACAAGTTGGTTTGGTTCTAACTTTCCACTATATTCATCTAGTAAAGACTGATCAAACTCAAATTGCATCCCATTGCTTGGTTGTGATCTAAAGACCAAAATAAGTTGAGATTAAAATCATATACAAACGCATCAAAATATACACACAACCTGTAATTATACAGAACCCCTGGGAGGCAACTAGGCAGCAGTGACCACTTTTACATTATATATTAATTGTTGTGTGTCATTTAAATGACACATATTTTACTATTTCATAGGCATCGGTGAGATTTGTGACACTTTTTGTATTGAATTATTGTCATTACGATTTGAAATCCCTCCCTCTTTTTAATAATAAATTTTAGATAATAACTGATATAGAAAATAGGCCATAAACGTTAATTAGTTTTGAATGAAATTTAGACAAGGAAATTAGGATATAAACATCTCAAACATATATGTTCTTTATCCTACCAACAATTCTATGATTTTAAATTTTCACAAAATGAGTCTTGAGTTTATTTTATGCTAACAATATAATTCCAACAGTAGTGACATGACAAGTTTGGTTGCACATGGATATATAGTTCAATATCTAACACTGATCACCATTGCCAAGTCAGCATATATTCGATTATATCAGTCACATTTTCTAGAGATTGTGTTGTTGTTTTTTATCAAACCAAGATAAACACAATGATAAAAACTATTGTTTTTCCACAGTTTCCAATACCAAGAAAATGGGTTAAAACAAATTCCATGACTTTCTAAGAATTTCATGGCATTTCTTAAGAAAACAAGAAAACCTGATTAAATTACTTCGAACAGAAGCATGGATTTAAACAAAGCTTCTACTACTCAACGTCTGATTGAGAAAACCTAGGCACGTATCTTTCTGGTTATTTGCAATTTTTTTAGAGTAATAATTATAATATAACAAATGACATACACTAACATGTCAAATTGACTTTATGTGTCACGTACAATAAAAATCATTTACAGAATTAATCCTCTTACTATGGGTAGGTCAAAATCTGCATGTTATAACCTTTTACAAAATACATTCAAAATTTTCTTAAGCTACTTCATGATCACTGTATATGAAATTTGGCTTCAAAACATAGTTAATAAATCAAATGTTAATATACAAGTTTTAATTTTTTTATTTTAAAAGGAAATATTTGAATAAACTCTCAATCTCCCCTTGTATGAGAATTGTGACATTTGTTCTCTTAGTTTTGCCCATTCTGTAATTTATTTACTACCCCTCACTGAATTACAAAGTTCAACATAAATTACTCACAATAATATAAATATTACTAAGACAAAGCCTAATTTTTATAGCCTTCTATGTTTACGGCTGTAACAATAATTTGACAGTTTTAATCTTTCAATTGATATAATGTTATGCTCTTCGCAGTACAAGATACTGTCAATTTCATCTTCAGTTTGAAAATTTATCTTGCAATGTTTAGACAGAGCAGCTTAGGGAATTATTTTAAAACTCTTATGCCTTACTTAGAAAGCCAGTTAAATTATAAAAGTTATAGGACACTGTTTACTTTATGTGTGTTATTGTTCAGTATTTGTAAGTGCATTCTTTAAATAAATAAAAATTATTTAATGTACTAGTACCATCATTACAAAAAATAGGCTTAAATTCCATCAGCAACCAACAGTAAAAAATAAAGCATCAAAAGTAAGTACTATATTTCTTGTTTTCATGTATATTTTTTATTTATTGTTATAAAAGTAATTAAAACATAAAAATTAGACACTTATTAGGTTAGATAAAGTTAGATTAGGCATGATAATGAGTATAAAAATAATAATAATTCTACCCGAGTAATTAATGTGTTATGTCATTCAATATGGTAACTTAAGATACAAATTCACCGTGTGATTTACAACTTGCATGACAGGATTATTAGTTAGACATGGTTCAAAGGACAATAAAGCAATACAATTAAGTAGAAATAGATGTGAACTGTTATGAGCCTAAAGCTTACTTAGGATAAATAACTGTAGTTATCCGTTACAATTTGCAGCCTTATATAGAATGAAAAAAATATCCTTTAAATTTATTTCATCTTTTTTTTTTATGGTGATAACAAGGTTGATCAAATCAACTGAGACATATAGAATGAGGATAGAACAAAACCCAACCTAAAATAAATAAGTTAAACGTTTAAAAAATAAACATATCTATTTAGGAGGTCTTAGAGATTACATAAATGAAATTTGAAAATTTTCAGGTGAAGAAAAGTATTTTTAATCTTCACATGAAGATCACTTTGCATTTAGAGCAGCACGTATTCATGAACAAGTCTTTATAATTAATAAAAAAAAAATCTGATTTTTTTTATGTACAAAAAAACTTGTAAAGTTTACTGAAAGCTTGTCAAATTTCACAACGATACACGTACCACATTAAAATTTATAGTATGAAAACTGTGATGGTTGCTTTGTGAATTGTGAGAGTTAAAATGCAAAAGGCAGATATTGATCAATGGCTTTATAGCCCAATTAATGTCACTGGTAGTCTATTACTCATATTTAAACACCAGAGCAAACAACATGAAAAATTGGAAATGTATGAAATCAACACGTGTATCACCAATTACCTTTACAGGGTTGGTTCTCTGAAGTAGAAACTTTACCTAAGTACATCTTTTTTCAGAAAAGTTATAAAGACATTCATCAAACAGTAAAACACATAATTTTGGGGGCAATAATATTAGAGATAATGATTGTTACCTTTTCTTATTAAAAACTATGAAACTTGAATTTACTCTTTATTAATAATCAATTAGAGAAATATGTCAATTATAAAATAACACCTTAAAACTTACAGAAATTCTTTAATGAACAATCACATTGCCAATACAAAGTACCAGTGTATTATTAAAACACAGAGCTCCTAGTACAAAAACTACCTATGTTGAGAGAGAGCCTACTAATATTACCATCAGATTTTTACTCCAATATGAATACAGTCAAACACTATAACTAGATTTATTAAACAGTGATTTTTAAAATCCTATCAAAGTTGAAGGAAGAAACAAGAATTATGGTCACAAGTAAGAAAGTTCTGTCATATGCATAGCAGTTTAAAGGATTATAATGTGTATTTTACATGGATAAAGACAGGCCACTGAGAATATGTGTTACCTGTTCTTCTGAATGAACACTTTATATTCTTCTGAAACAGCAACGGCATCAATGCTATCAGCCATTTTTTTCTGAATAGCTTGAAACTTTTCTCCAGTAAGGTCTGTAAACTTGCAGTAGTCTTTTAAAAGTTCTTTCCTGAAATAAAAAAACTAAAACCTGATTCCAACAAAACTTAACAAAATGGTAAATTATGTATCATAAAACTTTAGATTTTTTTCACTATACATGTATAATATTCACATGTTGCATATAAAACTAATGAAATAAAAGACATTACTGTGCAAGAAGTTTTTATGTGAAAGATAAAAGAAAAATACCAATTACACAATATAGCTAATACACAAAGTATCAAAAATCTTTAAAATATTCAGTGGTGACTGATTAATCTTAAAATGTCCATGGAGTATGGTTTGTTTTATTGCCTTAAAAAAAAAAAACTAATGGATGAAGTAGTTTTTGAACACGAGATAAACTTCCTACAGGATATGTAGCTTTTTTAAAATATCTTATTTTTACAATTGATATTTGTATGAATTCTCAGCTTTGGAAATTTAAAAAATTCCTTAGTGATATATTTTTAAGGAACAATAAAAAATGCTTATCTTCCTTGTAAAATTCAATTACTGATTATTTTGTTTTCCTACATTCTTGTGAAGCTTTTTGTCTTTGTTTTGATTTGAAAAAACTGTACACAGATTGATTCACTGTGTTTCCAATTGCCAACATATATTAAAAATAACTTTTTTCAACCATACCAAAATAAGCAAGTACTTTGTTTCTAACTGTTAATTATTAGAAATTTTCATTTAATATATTTATTAAGCCTTAAACTTGTTTTATATTGATTAATATGTATAGATACATAAAGTTTTTTTACATTTCATGATTTTCTTTGTCTATTCAAGCAGTTACTTAGGCTGATAGTCTCATGTAAACATGACACAACAAACATCAACCTTATTGACAAAACGTAGCTTGATATAAAGTGCAATACGATCACATTAAGCCTAACAAGTTTCCACGTGACCTTGTTCCACAAAAACGTTTCTTTTCCTATCATACTGTAACTTCGTAATTCAAATTGAGTATCAAATGATAAAGTAGGTTTTCACAAGCTATTAAAAAAAAATAAAACCATAATTATGGCAGAAGTTATTCAAAAAAATCTTTCCTCTTGGTAATGTTACACCAAACTAAACTTTCATCACTTTCTTTTGATCTCCACTGATCAGGAAGCCACATTGGCTCACACAGTCGAAAAGTCCTGAAACAAATGTTTAGATCAATAGCTTATGATTTTTCAATGGTGAGATGTAGGCAGTTTATGTAACACCATGACAAATGTGGTTATGAAAGAGTGATTTGTTAAATTGATAAAACTACACTTGCAATAAAGTTACAGTGTACAAATTGGTGTTGTCTGGTTCAAAACAATTTTGAATTTCCTCATGAGTAGCTTTATGCTAAAAAAAAATGTAGAAGATTCACAAAACACTAATGTTTCCATTTGGTATGTACTGAAAGTAACTCAAAATCAAAATATGCAATTAAAAAAAAATTATATATAAAATTAAACATAAAACCTCTTTTTACTGAATAAATTTCAACTCTGAATTTTTTTATAAAATGTGTGGAAGAATAACTACAAGTTTATTTCATACAATTTTTTTTTAATTTAATAGTGCAATTTAGTCTTTGGGCAAATCTAACAAGTATAACTCTATGGTTTGGCACCATATGGTTAAATTTGTTGAATTTTCAGTATTGCTTGTAATGCACTGATTATTTTTTTACCCTTGAGCAAACCTAAAATGTTAACCCTACAGCTGGGCACCACAAGATTAAACTTGTTACTTTTAGTTTGCTCCGTGTTACATTCTTTTGTTTTAGGTTTCTATGTTATATTGTTTCATAATAACATATTTCCTACATATTCCATGGATTTTTTGAGAACTTTGTGGGTTAGTTTCCTGTTTTTCAATTACAGCTGTTTATTTTGAAGTATAACTGCTCTGAATGAAATAATAAATTTGCAATGTTGAGAAAAATTCAATAAAATAAGCATATAATCCTTAAAGTTATGATAAATTAGACACAAAGTGCTTACTATTACTGTATTGCTTAGCCTACATTTAACATACAGTAAGAAATTTCTTTTAAAACACAAGATGATCAGGTATTATATCTTCCTCACAGGGAGGATGACAAACTGTATTTCCTAGCTTTCTTTATTCTATTTTTCCAACAACTGAGTGCCACTCAAGACTCAACAGTCTTGAAAATTGGAGATCATATACCTTGGTCTGATATGTCCAGACACCTTTATACTTTTTAGGACTAAAGATCCATTATAAGTTTAGGTAATGAAGGTCAAACATTACATAAAATACACATAGCCTGCAGTTCCCTTATATTTTCCATAATCCAGATCACACTTTGCACAAATATACCTTATGTCAAATGAAGGTCAAACATTACATAAAATACACATAGACTGCAGTTCCCTTATATTTTCAATAATCCAGATCACACTTTGCACAAATCTACCTTATTACAGCTCCCACAGACAGATATGGTACTTGTACTTTTATTACAGTTTCATAGGGGATCAAAGGTCAAAATATTTTGTAGAATGACAGTTTTTGACCTTCCAATCCTCTCTCTCTCATATATGTATATGCGAGTGTCTTATTTGTCCAAATATGATCTGTAAAGTTTCTGCCATTGTAAAGGAATCTTTTTATGCAGGAGTTGACTGTCCTGTGTATCCTCAAATCACAGTTTAGTATGCTCTAACGCTATTTTCTCAAAAATGAGTTTCACATTAATACCAATCCATCTGAAGTATACATATTGTAGTTCATGCCCTCCCTTAAATTCTACTGCCTTAAAATCGAAGGATATTGCTCTTACTTGCGACTGTTTGCCTTTCTAGTTTATTTATTTGCTAGGTTACAATATAGATATTTACAAAATTTACCCCTAGGAAGTAATGTTTACTCACAGATTATTCAATGAGAAGAAAAAGGTTAGTAGTAATGTGTATGCGATATTATATCACAATAAGACTGGATGGGTTTTTTTTTATGGAGCTTAATTCTTAGTTAAGGATCTGATTGGTATATATTCTATAAAATACATTATTGCCACTAATTAGAGAAAGAAACAAAAATTAAAAATTCACCAGCAGGTTCCAAGACCACCAGCATAAACTAAATACCTTTACATAGCCTTACATTTTTACATTTATAACAATGAAGCTTGAACATACTTAAACACATTTATCACTAAAACAATCAGACAGTTATTACCGTTGAAGCGACACAACACAAAAATTATTACAGATACTAGGACTAACACAGCAGAGTCATTCTTGATAATTCATACACAGAAAATAATTTATACGAAGGTGTATTTTACCATGATGCAGCCGATTCTTGTAGAACAGATTCCTGAAAATTCATCAAATGAGGAATCAGTTTTTCTCTAAAGTTCTCTTCATATATTTTAGCTTCTTTTATTAATAATACATATTCATTATGCATTCGATGCAGTTTTCTCGAAACTTTCAGTAGTCGTTCTCTGGACTCCTCCAATTTCTTTTGTACTTTCCCTAGAAAATTAAAGAAAGAAACAAACATATTCCTATTGGTTACCATAAGAACAAAATAACATTTAGATGAAAAATGATCCTCTGATAGTAGGGATGTTTCACTTATAACTGCAATTTCTGTTAGACAACTTGTTTCATGCAGTTCTTTATACAAGTAGAGCTGGATGATTAGTGCGATTTGCTAATGATGAATCATTGGGCTCATTCATAGATCACATTCAACTCTATTATTCTCAACTGAGACTTGGATAGCTGGAATAATAAAGAAAAACAGTAATTACTGTGAAACATTAATTTTGATTAATTGATTATTTTGTAAGTTACACACTAACAGATTAAACTGAATAATCTTAAATCAATCAAAAATAATAATGAGAAATCAGACTGCCAATATTTTGATTATTTGTATAGTTGGAAAAATCAAAAACAGTAATTACTGTGAAACATTAATTTTGATCAGTTGGTTATTGTTATGACATAAACAGAGTTATTTGTATAGCTACTGCAGACAAACATTTCTTTAAAAGTTTTAGAAATGTTTACGGTTGGTATAAAATATCAAAAGCTAAAGTCTCAAACACCTGCCTAAGGAAGATGGTAATTTGCTTTACGATCAATTTGTCTATTGTTTAAATCTAGATGGAAAGTAATTTATACAAACATAAATTAATATTACAACCTAGTGAATACATTAAAAGTTTCATTTAGACTAACCTCAAAGTTAGTTGTGTAAACTAATGTTAAACAATTATCTTAAAACATTAACCCTCTATATGTGAATAAGTCAAAGTTTTCATATCACAATCAAAATTTAATTAAACTACTTTGTTATCAATGTATGGCAATAAATTTGGCAACAGAACACAGTTTATAATTCAAATTTTAATATTATATAAGCTTTAGTTTCTTAATTTCAAAAATAAATATTTAAAGAAACCCTCAATCTTTATTTTTATGTCTCAAGTGACACACTTCTTAGCTCCAAATAACACACATTTTAGAATTTCTTTCATTCCATATATCATTGTCCAAGTTTCCAAGGACTTGCACACTTATACATTAGATATATCCGAGCTAAAATGAAAATCTACTGTCCATTCTTCTGCTTTAATGATTTATATGCCATAAACTGAAACTCACATGCTGTTTTTTAAAAATGTAAATAATTCTCTCTGACATTTGCTATTGGATTATTTATAACCAATAGAAAGATATTTTAATTTACTGATTTCATTATGAAGTAAGTTTTTTCTTACAATCAGTCTGAAGTTATTCTGTATCAAATTCATAGGTTGCTCTCACCAAAATTATTTTAATGAACATATAGCTTAGTTAAAAAGCCAGTTAAATTATAATAGTTTTAGGACATTGTTTTTCTTTTCTGTTGAATATTAATACTTTGTGTTCTTAATAGCACTGAAAAAAAAAGTGAAGTACTAACAACATCCTAAAAAAAAAATAGGGTTAACTTTCATCGAGCCTTCAAAAGCAAAAAAAGTACAAGAGTGTTACATAAGTACTAAATTTCTTGTTTTTCATGTATATATTTTTTTATTTGTTGTTATAAACGTAACTAAAATGTAGAAATTAGAAACTTATTAGCTTAGTTAAAAAAAAAATTAAACTCAATAGTTCGAGCAGGTTTTAAATGTGCAGTATGTTGTAAGTTGACTGAACATGCTGGTAACTCAATGCTTTGTTTACACAAAGCTTTCCCTGCTGTAATAATTCACTTTGGCACTAATCTAAGTGATAGTAAAGCAATAAAAATAAATGACTGGGGGATTTGAATTGTATCAGTTTTAGTCTTTTGGTCATAAGAATAAATAACATATAATTGTATATAACAATATGCAGTCATTCTAGAAAGAAAAAGACTAATTTAGATGTATTTTCTGTCGTAGTTATAAGGTTGGTCAAATGGACAGAGCCTGTATACAGTGTTAAAATAGAGAAACTAACAGGTAACATATAAAGTTTTACCGAAAACAACGTTAGATATTTATTTAGGAGGTTCAAAAGGTTAAGCAAATGAAATTTGAAAATTGTAAAATGATAAGGTATTTTTTCATCTTAACATGAAAATAATCAGTGACCGAGTTAGACTCTTACTCCATAAATTCACAGACAAGTATTTAGTAAAATAATTAACTAAACAAAATCTGATTTTTCTGTGTACAAAAGACTTGTGATATTTACTAAAAACTTGTCAAATTTCATGAAGATACACTTACTACATGACAACTTAAAGTATGTATGGTTATATGGTGGTTAAAAGGTCAGTCAAAATGACCAAGTTCATATACAGAGTTAAACATTCCAAGTTCGTTATGGTTTTAGGAGCTATTTGAACAAAACTTATTAAACTGGGTGATAGATGAAACACTACAGTCAATTAATTTCAGCATCTTGCAATGTCAAGCAACTGTAATGTTTGCATGTGTCAGCATTTTGTTCCTGTGAAAACCAAAACTAGTAATTCAAAATTTTTAAATAGTATACTGGATTTAAGTTGTATTGAAAATTGCATATTCAGGAACCCCAATATTCAATTTGATTTGCTCATGAATTATTCTCTTAGTAAGATGTTTTAGTAGGTCTGCATTCACCCATTTAATTCAATTTTTCTAATGATGGAGGTACTAATGCAAATATTTTGTTACTGAATTGTGATGATGGTTGACCCCACCTTTTCAATAACAATTCACTAAACTTGGCATAAACTCTAAAACATACTCATTAAAGAATTCAATAATGTGAAAGAGGAACTTATGACTACTGATAGAAATGTTCATAATTAACCAATGAAAGTGAGTAATTACTTTTACTAGATTTGTTGTCACCAAAAGTACCAGATTATCCAACTATCTGCTTAAAGTACTATGTTATGGAAGACATAGTCTGACCAGGTCTGTTCTAACTACTGATAGACAAGCTAATGTTTAGTAATGTTCTTATTGGAAAAAAAAGAATTTTCCTTATCTTATAATGTGAAAATGGTAAGCAATTATAAATATATACAGGGTGTCCATAAAGTATTTTTACAATTTAAAAAAATTTATTACAAAGGCAATTGATAAGATATCTTTGTCAGACTTGTTCTATTGTACTCAGTGGTTTTCAAAGTTTTTTTTTACTTCATTTAATACACCTCTATATGGGCACCAT